TTGTTTGCCTAATTGAGATGGTAATCTATGAAAAATAAAGACTTTATGTCATATGTATTAAACTAAACATATTTAGTCCAGAAGACAGCTGGCCATCTGTGAGTGGAAAATAGAAATTGAGAATATACCCCAGTCTCTTTTAAGTCTTCCTGAAATTGCTAATTATGAAACAGTCAGTATTTTTTAAAAGGCCCTGAAAATAGCATGTTATTCTTTTCTGTTCTTCATCCCCTCTAGTATACCTAAGGTTGTTAGATATTTAGTACAAATGTGATATATAAAATTAGAAATCTGATTAGCTAATATCACCCTGGAAATTTAAATAAGAATATAAAATGATTGCTATTATTTCTTCTTTCGTGAAAGTGGTAACGTTTTGGGTGGGGCAGATTTTGTCTATTAAACTAACATGGAAATAGACTAGCCAAGGAAGTTAACATAACCCAGAGACATGGCTATTGTAAAGAATGTTTCTTAGAAGATACTTTTATGTGGCACTTCCTGCTCCTGTTCAACCCTGTATAAGATGAAAGATTGAAAAACAACAAAAAAGACCCAGTCATATCGTCCAGGAATTTGTCGTTTGGTAGCAAAGATAGACACATTCCTAAATAATTTAGAAACACCCAGACTGATACTTGTTATAACAGAACTTTTTTGGATAGATTATGAGGGGAAAGTGGAAAGAGGAATTGTCACTGAGATAAGAAAAGAGTGTGGGAGGCTTCTTGAAAAGGGTACTATTAGAATTGGGTCTTGAAGTAAAATGTGATATTTTGGATAAGTAGCATTCCTCAATGAAAGAACCACATGAGTAAATGATTTATAAAATAACTTAAGTTTTATTGACACTTTATGTGCTAGGTATTGTACATGCATTAACTTATTGGACTCTATAAACAGTCCTGTGAAGTATGTACCAATATCTGAATTCACAGATAAAGATATGCAGCTTGGAGAGGTTGACTGGCTCAAGATTATAGGTAGGTTCTGGAGCAGGGAGAGGTCTGTCTGCCAGGCTCAAATTCAGGAGGTGGGAGTAGGTTCTAGCCTACTGGGGAAATGGTCAGTGGGCCTGCAGGTATGAAGCATTAGAACTGAGTGGAGGCTTAGGGCAGTGTTTCCCAAGTTTACGTTAACCTAGGGATCACTGAGGGGCAGGGGCACTTTTTAAAATAGAGATTTCCAGGCCAACTTCCCTGGAGATTCTGATCCTGTTGAAGTGGGGCAGGCCTTAAAATCTCTCTGTTTAACAAGAACCCCAGGGGATCATTTGATCTGACATGTTGGGCACATTTGATTAACTTGATTAATGCAGGAAATAAGGCATCTAATTCCTAATTGGTGCTCAATTGCTTGTAGAATTGGAATTTTCTTTTGTAGTCAAGAGACTACACAGTTTGGACTTTATGGGGTGACACTGAAGGTTTATGAGCAGGGTATGAAATTATTAGATGTTTATAGAGAAAAAATAGTGTTCTTTTTTAATTTTTTATAAAAATTTTCTTTAAATTTAATTTAGTTAACACATAGTGTATTATGAGTTTCAGAGGCAGAATTTAGTGATTCAACAGTTGCATATAACATCCAGTACTCATGACATCAAGTGCCCTCTTCAATGCCCATCACCCAATTACCCCATCTCCCCACCCACCTCCCCTCCAGCAACCTTCAGTTGGTTTCCTAGAGTTAAGAGTCTCTTATGGTTTGCCTCCCTCTCTGTTTTTCTCTTATTTTATCTTTCCGTCCCTTCCTCTATGTTCATCTGTTTGTTTCTTAATTTCCAGAGTGTTATTTATATGAAGAAAATGTGTTTTTTTGTTAAAATTTAAAATGTCCTTTTCTTTTTCACTTTCAATAAGATGCTTTTAAAATAACAAAATTAAAGAGGTGCCTAAAGCATTTTTTAAAGTTTATTTGCTTAAGTAATTTCTACACCTAGGGGTGCCTGGGTGACTCAGTCATTAAGCGTCTGCCTTCGGCTGGGGTCATGATCCCAGAGTCCAGGGATGAGCCCCGCATCTGGCTCCCTGCTCAGCGGGAGGCCTGCTACTCCCTCACCCGCTCCCCCTGCTTGTGTTCCCTCTCTCCCTGTGTCTCTCTCTGTCAAGTAAATAAATAAAGTTTAAAAGAAAAAAATAAGTAATCTCTACACCTAAGGTGGGGCTCAAACTCAGGACCCTGAGATCAAAAGTCTCATTCTCTTCCAACTGAGCCAGCCAGGCACCCCAAGCATTCTTTGTTTTGGAATGAAATCTTAAGTAATTTTTAACATTTGAGATTGTGGTGAGAATAAGTATGTATGTTTTAACCAACATAATATAACTATTATAGTGGTTCCAACTTTTTTTTATAATAATGTTTCTCTGATTTTAAAAGTAATACATTTTTTTGGACCTCAGTGCTGATGGAAATACTTGTTTCCCTTCCTTCCTGGATCCATTCTCTTCAAACTTCTAACCCCATTACTTCCTTCATCATTTTCAGCTGGCAAAGTTGCCTTCTACTTACCTGAGAAAATAAACACTAATACATGGATAGTATTTCAGCTCCCTGACTAAAACTGGCAAGTCAGCATCCACACCTGCACCTCCCTTTAGGAACCAGTTTGAGGTACTTTTTTTAAGATTTTTTTTTTTTTTTCTACCGATGCGGGACTCCATCCCAGGACCCTGGGATCAGAACCTGAGCCAAAGGCAGCCGCTTAACTGACTGAGCCAGCCAGGCATCCCTAGGAACCAGTTTTAAGGAAGACATGTCAGCAAGGTCGTATCCTTCCATCTGTGCCTTAGATGCCATCTTCTCCTGCTACCCTCCTCCTCCTTTGCCCCATTATCCCTTTATGAACTAGTCCCCCGTTTTCCAATCTGAGCGATATATAAACCTCTTTTAAAGAAAAACTGTTGTGGATTTCCAGGGATGACTTAAACTTTTTTAAATTATAATTTTAAATAAACAAGTATAAGCTCTGTGTTCTATACCTCTTAGATAAGATAAAAACAATTTTATAAATTAATTCAAAGCAAACTGCAAAACAATATTCAGTAGCTGGCATACAACTCTGAAAAAGCACATTTAAAAATTATACAACAGGGCGCCTGGGTGGCTCAGTCGTTAAGCGTCTGCCTTCGGCTCAGGTCATGATCCCAGGGTCCTGGGATCGAGTCCCACATCGGGCTCCCTGCTCGGCAGGAAGCCTGCTTCTCCCTCTCCCACTCCCCCTGCTTGTGTTCCTGCTCTCACTGTCTGTCAAATAAATAAATAAAATCTTTAAAAAAAAAAAAATTATACAACAAAACTTAGGATATTCAAACGTACATATTGTATTGTGACAAATGAAACTAAATTGCATCTTGAAAGTTTAAATACTGTTAGCCTGCTACTGCTTAGGTTCTTTTTTTTTTTTTAAAGGTTTTATTTATTTATTTGAGAGAGCAAGAGTGGAGGGGGAGGAGCAGAGGGGGAGAGAGAAGCAGGCTCCCCGCTGAGCAGGGAGCCTGACCTGGGGATCTTGACCTGGATCATGACCTGAGCCAAAGGCAGAGACTTGACTGACTGAGCCACCCAGGCGCCCCCGCTCAGGTTTTTTTTTAATTCTCCATGCATATAACCACTTTGGGCCATGGGAGGACTCATTTCCCACTACTCTTCTCTTTTTGGATTATAATATTCCATAATAACAAGATAAGTTTAGACTTCCTCTAAGAAATTTGCTGTGGCCCTCGACATCCCAGTCTATTTTCCCTTGGGTATTCCTTAGAACTCTGCATTTATCGTGATACTTATCACTGTATTTTATAAATTGCTTATTTGTCTTTCAGTCTCCACCATCTGTCCATGTAGTTTAAGTTGAATCTCCAGCACCCATCCAGTGAGATCGTAAAATATTATATCCTTTTTTTCTTGCTATAAAATGAGTATTTCCCCCATGCATTACTCTTTGAAAACATTTCTATTTCATAATATTCATATTTCATATGTTATTATTTAACTTTTCCCCTATTGTCAAACATTTAGATTGCTTTCAACTTTCCACTTTCAGAAATTTTATAAATTTTTTGCATCCTTTATTTTCCTGGAATAGATCTGTAACAGTTGAATTACTGAGCCCTGAGGAGGAAATACAATCTAGTAGTTAATGACTTGGGTTCAATTTTTGTTTGACTTTATTGCCTTCTAGCCAATTGACCATTAAGATGAATAACCTAAGCTTCAGTTTCTTTATTTTAGTATAAGGATATTCACTTCATACTATGTGAATACTTAGCATAGAATACGAATAGAACAAATAATTTGAAAAATGGCTGACTCTCAATAAATGCTAGTATTTTGTACTTAGAAAAAAATACTTGATGGAGGTACTCGTAAATTACCGGTAAAATTTATCAGTTTACACTTCCAACTCAGTGATGAGAACAAATTATAAGTTTGCGCAAAATGAACATGCAGTTGATTTCACAACATTGCCACCCATTTGAAGCAGTTTACAATATCTTTTTGGGAAAACTATAGAAACGTTTGCAATTGCGAAACAGTATGAAAACCAAAGAAACAATGGGGCGTATTTACATTAGCACCTCTTAGAGGGCGTTGCTTAAAAGCGTCCCTTCCCAGCACAAGAGGCAGAGGCCCCGAGGAAAGGTAGAGAGGAGTTTCCTTTACCTCAAGGGAACCCCAGGCTTCGTGCCTCTAAGGCTTTGGGCAGCTGTTCCTCGTAGAAAGGGCAAATGCAAACTGGAAGAAAAAGGCGGGGGGGAACCCACCAGTGGGTCTCCGCTGTTGATAAATTATGCGGCTCCAAAAGAGTGCATTTAGGAGAAGCTAAGCGGTGAAGTTTTAGCTACTTGAATTCTTCCAACTGAGACGCCCTCCTGGAAATTTCACCTCTTTGTCTTCTTTGAGTATTTCTCGCGCTCTCGGGAAAGCTTCCTCGTCTCCCTGGCAACCCAACCGCCACCAATTGCAGCCAAGGGTCGGCTGTCACGTGGCCCCTGCCCTTTCCCTAGCGGAGACAACATGGCGGTTAGGGCGAGCCGTAGTTTCGAGATTTGAATTACACGACTTGTAGCTATTGCATTCCTGATGATGGCGTCTCCGATTTCGTGTGGCTCGCGTCATAGCCCAGATGAGCTCCCTGGAGACCCCTCTTCACAAGAAGATGAGGATTGCGATTACGAAGATCGGGTCAGCTACTCGGGTTCATACTCCTCAGCGAGTAGCGATTATGAGTAAGAGTCTTGAAGAGCGACAATTAAATCCATCCTTTCAATCCAGAGAGTGTACACGTGGGCTGGGGGGACTGCCAGAATGTTGGCGTAGTTGGGATTGAGTGTTTGAGGTTCTGTAATCAGAGGGATTTATTTGAGCCACGTTCCAGTTGTGCGGTATTGTGAGCCGCAGTGACGTGCCATTCTTCGCTATTGGGGGCTTTTTATGATTGTCAGATGAGGAGGTTCTCCTCTGTGGCGGATTCAATATTTACGGGTATATCTGTTAGGATGGTCACAAAACTCTGATCCTATCGCAGTGTCTTCTCTGCTGTTACGATCTTTGTGATTTTAGTGGAAGGGTACCCTCCACGTTTTATAAATCAACTATTTAAATTATACAGATTTTTTTTCTTGTTATAAAAATGGGTAGGATATAAAAGAAAATCCACCCATAGTCTTCACCTTCAAGGACAACTTCTCAGCATTTTGGGGTATTTCTGCTATATTTTCGTATGCGTTCTCATGGTTTTCTTGTTTTCTACTTAGTGTCATATGTAATTTTTATTTTTTAAAAAGATTTTTATTTATTTGTCAGAGAGAGAGCACAAGCAGGGGGAGCGGCAGGCAGAGTCTCGGAGAAGCAGACTCCCTGCTACGCAAGGAGCCGGATATGGGACTCAATCGTAGGACCCAGGGATCATGACCAGGAGCTGAGGGCAGACGCTTAACCGACTGAACCACCCAGGTGTCCCAATAATGGAATTTTTAAAATACAAACTATCTAAGTGTTATTTTCCACTTTTTAATCCTTAATAATATTGAAAAAGTTATTTTGATTCATAGGACCCAATGCTATTTCAATGTTGAAGAAATCTGTTTCTTACTGCTATGAATTAAGACCTTTTTGGAAAAGTAAATTAGCCCTAGTTTGAAATGAATGACTAACAGTGAAAAGGTTTAGGCGCCAAAACCTCAACCAATCCCATAATAGACTACCATGCATAGTCAGTTTTAGGGTGACATTTTAAGTGTATTATTTAGGAACAATGATTTCAAGTATTTAATGTGTATTTAGGAGTAAAAATTACTTGGCAATTATTTCCACCTCTGGGTATGTAAAAAAATTTTGCCATTATCTTTAAAAGGGTAAGGGAAAACTAATGACTGCTTAATATACTCTAGAGGCTCAATAAGGACAGATTACATTCTTGAAGAGACTATCAAGTATTTTGTGTAATCTTCTGCTGTGGTCATTTAAAAAATAATTTAAAAATTATGGTTATCAAGTGAGGCACTGGATGAAGTATGGGTTACAGGAAACCTAATTTGGTCTTGATGTGCGTGTCATAGACCTTGAGAGACTCAAGCTTTTGGTTTCTCTACATCTTAGAAACACACATTTTTAGCTCAGAGAGAATCTAATTTACCCATAGTCACACAGCTGAGTGTTTCAGTATAGAAATTTAGGAGACCTGATTGCAAATGGAGTGCCCGGATTTTAATGGAATGAAGGTAAATGAACTAGCCCTGTTTCCTAGGAAATGAGCAATCTGAGGACCTTGTGTTAAGAAAACTTGTTACCTCAAAACATTTTGTAATTCAAAATACATGTAAATATGGATTTTATATATACATATATAAACATTTGTATATATAATATATATATATATTTTTTAAAGGGCATTAAGCTTTCCAGATTAGTCATTCACTCGTTACTCCAAATGTTCCACTGTTTATCTCCCTAATAGTAAAAGTACAGTAAATCTCTATTGTAAAATATTTGGCTGGTCTATATTTTCAAGTCCTGTCAAGATTCAGATTTTATGGGGCGCCTGGTGGCTCAGTTGTTAAACGTCTGCCTTCGGCTCTGGTCGTGATCCCAGAGGCCTGGGATCTAGCCCCACATCTGGCTCCCTGCTCAGCGGGAAGCTTGCTTCTCCCTCTCCACTCCCCCTGCTTGTGTTCCTTCTCTTACTGTCTCTCTCTCTGTCAAATAAATAAATAAAATCTTTAAAAAAAAAAAAAGATTCAGATTTTATGTTTGTTCCTTCTTCGTGTGTAGGACATGAGAATTGATTTGCTGATCTGACCGGGTAGGTTCTGGTCTGTTCCTATTTACTTCTCTAACCTGCAGAGTCACTACTGCAGAAGTAGTCTTCCCAGTTTGGACAAAATTACTTCTTTTTTTTAAGATTTTATTTATTTATTTAGAGAGAGCGAGCATGTGGGATGGGGGAGGGGCAGAGGGCAAAGGAGAATCTCATGCTGACTCTGTGCTGAGTGTGGAACCTGCCGTGGAATCTCATGACCCTGAGATCATGACCTGAACCAAAACCAACCGTGGGACACTTAACCAACTGAGCCACCCAGGCACCTCTGGACGAGATCACTTCATAATCAAAGGCACAGGGACATGTGAACATGTGAACCTAATCTTTCTCATCAAAGCTAAGAGATAGGAATTGCCCATGTTGTTGCCTATATGTAGTTCATTCTTTTTAAACTTCTGAATAGGATTCCATTGTATGAATATACCCAAATTTATCCTTTTCTTGGGTTTTAACATAGGAATGTTATACTTGAAGAATCAAAATATTTCGAAGTCATGATGCCATATACTGTATTAACATCCAGTTTAGGATAATTCCCTTTTTCTTCTGCTCTGAACCCTGACTTCTTTTTTCTTTTAATTTAATTTCTCTTTTATCAAATTACATAGATTAGAAATTTGAACAGTGTTTATCTAAGTTTATGATGAGAAATGGCAATTCTTTGCTACCCTTTCTGTCTACTTCCAACTCAGCGTGTTTGAAGATAATTCATATCTTCCCTGTTTCTCCTCTAGCATTGCCCATCTTACTTACTGACATCATTCTCTCCTTGCTCATGTCTTCAGATCTAATAAATCTCCAGTCTTGTTGATTTCCTTTTCTGATAGCCACCCCTCCTTCTTTCTTTTCTTCAGAGGCACTGCCTGACTTAAAGCACTTGACTCTCCCATATAAAGAGTGGAGTAGCCTTCTAACTGATCTGGATGCCTCGTCTTCTATCTCTAGTCTTTTTTCCCTGCAGCTGCCAGAATTTGCTTTCTATAACACAGTTCTAAATCATTTTTCTGTTAGAGAACCTACTATAAAAAGATATATTATGGCAGTTTGGATCAAAGATAGAATTAAACACATGTGTGAATATTACCAGTGAAGCTAAATAAAATGAAGCAAATATTCATGTGCTTAACTAGGTCATCCCTGTGATCCAGAAGAGAAGGCTGAGATTTAAAAAACAGCTAATATGTCAGGCTTGGTCACTGATGGTTGTATTGCAAAGAATTCAACCACTTCAATTACAGTGGAATTTCTTTATAATGTTGCCTGAAATAATCATCCTGGTGCAGTGTAATGAGTATTGGATTAAGATAGGGGTCAGACAACATTTCTCTTTATCCCTGCCACTAACCATATGGCCTTACATGTGTCACATGACTTCTGTAAGGATCGGTTTTCACATGTTCAAATGGGAATGAGAGTATTTACTTAACTCTGAATTTTGTTGACTGTGAGATTTGTTAAATCCTAGGAACAGGAAAATTGTGAAGAGTTGATGGTGAGGGATTGACAAGAAGACAGAGGAGTTGATGGTAGAGATGACATGTATTTGATTTGGAAGAGGGTCAATCCAAGCTGAGTTTCATTTCCTCATTTTCCCCCAGCTTTATGGAAGTATAATTGACAAATAAAAATTGTATATATTTAAGGTGTACAATGTGGTGATTTGATATATACATACAGTAGAGGATTCTCTAAGAGAAATGCAAATTTTACAAGATTATTTTGCTTGCCTAAAAGTGTTAACATTTTAATTTCATCAAGTTTTCCCTGGTCTTGAGGGGTTCAGAATTAGAAGAATTCTTGGTTATAAGCTATCGTTTTATGAGATCTCTCTTATAACAAGTTTTCTCATCTTTGTCAGCAATTTCACAACTTCCTCCATATCTTCAGGAGGGAGAACACTACATATTCTAAGGGGCAGTGTGGTTAAAGAGAAAACTGAAGGCTGAATGTGCAAGCATTTCTATAAAATCTTTGTGTAGATGACCTAATAAAGACATGCTTTTCTTTTTTCTTAATTCAAAATTATTTTTTCTGAAAAATTTGAAATATGCACAAAAGAAAGAAGACCCCTATATACTTCTCACCAAAGACATGGCTTTTCTTTACATGAAAACTATCTTCCTGGTATTGATTGAGAAGATTTATGGGCCTTTATTTATTCTGACTTTTATTTTAAAATTTGAAGTAATAAGATAATTGTGTTAGGGCAGTGAAACTACTCTGTATAATACTATAATGGTGGATGATACATGTCATTATACATTTACCTAAACTTGTAAAATATACACCACCAAGAGTGAACTGTAATGTAAACTATGGATTTGGGGTGATTATAATATAGGAGTATAGGTTTATCCATTGTAACAAATGTATCACTCCGGTGGGAGATGTTGATAATGGAGGAGGTGGGAGGAAGGGAGTCTCTCTGTACCTTCAACTCAATTTTGCTTTGAACCTAAAACTGTTCTAAAAAAAAAATGTAGTAAATCATTTTTCTATAGTACTCAAAAGCTCGGTGGACTCCCAAATAAATTCCAGATTCCTTAGGATGATTTTAAAGCTGTTTCAGATCTGTCCCTAGCCTCTCTGATCTCATCTTTGATGATCTTCCTTCTTTAAAGCCTTCTTTATTCCCACTTGTCTTACCTCGGGCTGCTATTTAAAAAATAGTATAGAGTGCCTGGGTGGCTCAGTCGATTAAGCATCTGACTCTTGATTTTGGCTCAGGTCATGATCTCAGGGTCCTAGGATTGAGCCCCACATTGGGCTCTGCACTGGGCATGGACCTGCTTAAGATTCTCTCTCTCCCTCTCCCTATGCACCCTCACCCCCGTTCCCGCTAGCACATATACTCTCTCTCAAAAAAATAAAAAAATAAAATAAAATAGCATAGACTGAGTAGCTTAT